CTCCCCCTATACAGCTATGCTTCTATTCCTTCCTATGTACAAACACTGCCCCTCTCACCCAGAAGTCCCCAGATGTTATATCTGAATTCAGTGATTATTTAATTTATAGTGCTTGGCTTAATATATCTTAAAACACATGTATTTTAACTAGAAACTCCCCAGGGACCTCGTTCAGAACTAATTGCTTGCTGTTTGTGCAATTCTTCAAATATGTAAAATGCTCTCTGAGAGCTCGGAATTACTCAGCTCTGCTCTGGTTTGGTCTCAAAGATGGGTGGGGGTGTCTGGCTGAAGTGTAAGCCTGGGAATCAGGATGTATCGACCCTCATTCTGGCTCTGCAGAGACAGGGTAATTTTAGTCAAGTTAACTAAACTGGCCTACAGCTTGGATTTCCTGTAGGGGAAGGATAATGATTTTGTTTTTAATTGGGCTAAAAATGCATGTTGAAGGGCTGAATACAGAAATAGTTGGAAATTACAAATGAAATTTATTATCATAGCTGTTATTATTAGTATGTCATTGAGACTCAGTTTAGCTCAGATCATGTTTTCCTCCATGGGGAGGGGAGCTAAGAGGATTTCTAAAATAGCTCTGAAAAAGTCTTTTTTCTCATCATTTTGAGCGTTTTCCATCTGCTGTTTGCTTTATATCCCAAGTACCTTTTCCTTCTGTTTCTATTTTAAAGTTCCTTTTGCCAAGATTTTACTTCCCAATTACTGGGGCTGTGAGTGTTGCTGGGGGTGTATTGCAAGCAAGCATTTACCTTTCAGATTTTGCAGTTAATTGACTGGGAGGCAGTGAAGTCTCTGCACCACTTCCGCTAAGTGCTCAGCTGTTTAAATCCTTCTTGCAGCCCTTAAGTTACTTTCCAGTCCTGGTGATTACTTACACCTTCTCCTTTCCTTCTGTTGTAATAACTGAGAGAAGAGGTTTAGAGCAGCCGAATTCATGGGGTCGCTTACATTTAAGGCTGGGATTGCATTTTAAAATAGTTTCTGGTCATTCCAAGTTGGCAGGCTGGGGATGCTTCTGCTTGCCCGCTCCATTCAGTCTATCATGTTTCCATCTTTATATTCCACAGCGAATGGGGGACACACAGTGTTTTCAGGGGGAAAACACTGCCAGGGATACCAAGTGTATTTTGCAGTCTAAATTGAAAGCAGCTTCCTCTGTTCTGCATTTATAGCTGGACAAGAGGGCTAAATTCACTCATGAAGCAGTTGTTTCATTGATTCCCTGTTCTGAAAAGCTTTGACGCTTCCCTCCCCTCTTCCAGCTACCTCCTCTTAAGATCTTATGGCCATAAGTGTCACTAAAGGCAGTGCTTGAGGATGTCACATTCCCGCTGGAGCTCCTCTACCCCTGAAGAAGAGACTATCATGAATAAACGGTGGTCACCTCATTTGTGATACTGGCTGTGGGTACAGGCTGTAACGTGGGGGCCCTGTTGCAGGCTAACTTCTGATGAGCTCATTCAGTATTCCTCTGTCTCATTTACATCTCTGCTAACTGTGTTATCAAAATACCACATAAATTGTGATTTTTTTTTTTTTTTTAAAAGGTGGGCAAGTGCTTTTTAACAGGACAATTTTCCGTCTGAAAATTCTGTTTTTCAGGAAGTATTTCACGGAAATGAAATGTCAGTTTTCCCAATTTTCCAATTGGCTGTCATGTTTTGCACCTTTTTTCCTTCCCCCCCCCACCCCTCCATTTCACATAATTTTCTTTATAAAAACAGAATTAAGCCATCTTAGTGGTAACAGTTACTTCTTGGGTCATGCTTCTGGGAAATACCTCAGTAGATTGTTTCCATGTTTTCAAGCCCAGAGAAGGCATATTGTCAGGTGGTAAATGTAAAAACCATCAGATTTTTCTCAAGCAATTCTATTTATCCTTACAGCTCCCTTGGAGTTGGAAGAGCAGCACTTCCCAATACTTTTTATATGTGGCGAAGGGAGGTATAAGAAAACTAAATGATCCACCCAAGCTTATAATTAAAGCCTGGCACAGAGCAGGGCAATAAACCCAGTGCCTGGGCTCACATACTAGCCATTCACCATCCTTTCTCCAGTTAATGTCAGCTCTGATAGGAATTTTATATTCTTTTGCAAAGCCTCAATCCCCAATGCTTACAGTATTTTTTGTGCCTGTGGAGCTTGGGGGCAGATTTAAAGATATGAATCACTTATCTGAAGAATAGTAGCCTCAAACCTTCCATATGTAGGCTGGTTTAATTTTAATTTCTTGACTTTTCCGAAGTGAGAAGCTGAATTCAGTTTCTTCCTTCTTTCAACCTTCCTGGCTTTACTGAGATCCAAAAATGCAAAATGACATCTTGTCTCAGCCCACCAGAGCAGATGCATTGCAGGGGATTAGACTGGAAATTTTCCTAAAATGCAGCATTCTGAGACGTTTTTGGAAGATGTAGCTGGGGAGCAGAATATGTGATGTTCACTTGATGCTAACCCAGCAAGACAGTAGATACGCAGCAAGCGAAAGCTGTAGGCACAGTCAACAAGACAGCATTGCCAAAAACCAGAAGGCCTCAAGGCTTCCTGTGAAGGGACAGTGCCCTAAAGGAGAAGCCAAGTGGTCAGCCAACAGGACAGGCACCGGGAGAGTCTCATCTGCTGTCCAGACAGGCAAAAAACATCTTGTAGCTGTATTCAGGCACAAGAGAAGAAACATCAAAGCTTCCTGGCTGAGGGAGGTAGGCACGGCTGACAGGCTGGCCCAAGAGTGATGCCAGTGTTTTGGGGTGCACAGTGTCTGGAGCATTGGAACCGCTGGGCATGTAGATAGATGTGGATATTTGAGGCTCTTGCATCCTTACCCCTATGCTGTGTGTGTGGACCACTGATGGAGGTAAGACGAGCAGCAGCTTCAGCTTCCATGAAGAAGGGAGCTGCACAGGGGTCCTTCATGGTTAAAGCCTGCTCAAGTGTGGCAGGTAACTGTGCCGTGTTGCTTTTTATCCTTGTTGGGGTAAACCGACCTGCTAGATTTGTATCAGTAAATGCTGCAGAGTGAAGATATCTGTAGTGCAAAAGCTGTGTAGGAGGACATAACAAGCTTCTGACAGATGGAAAAAGGATGATGAATCCTGAAATCATGGGTGAAACCCAGCTGTCCTGTTGTCCATGCCCCTTTCCTGCACCTGCTCCCCACCCCCCCGCCCTTCAATTAACCTTTAAATAACCAGGGCTTTGACTTGGGTGGAAAGTTGGGTTAGAGGTTTACAGACATGTTGTGAAGAAAAAAAACCTGGGAAATTGAGGACGTGGTGAGGAGGCGAATTTGTTAAAAAAAAAAAAAAAATATAATTTTGGCTGGGAAGGAGAACATTTAAAAAGTGGTGGTCGTTTGTGGGTTTTTGTTGTTGTTGTGTGTGGTGTTTTTGTGTGGTTGTTTTTTTTTTTTTTTTTTTTGGTCAGGCCCTAATGATTTTTATTCAAGAGTGGTTTACTAAGTCTAAGGAAAAAAAATAATGAATCCATTGCTGAAGGCCTAATTCTCTATCTCATGTAAATTATAAGTCAGGCTGAAATGTAGCCATGTAGGTGTCTTGCAGGAATTATTTGGTCCAGTGTAATTACTACAGAATAAATGAATGTTCCTCTGAAAAGAGGAGATGATAGGAAAGGGGCACATAAGCTTTGCGGCATGTTGTTTGGAGGTGTGAATGTCTGTGGAGAGCCATGAAGGAGACAATTAGAAAACCATCAAGTAAAATTCTCTCCTTACAGGAAGTATTTTTCATCAGATTGGTTATGCCAGGCATGAATTTGGCCCATCAAGTCAGTAAAGCCTTACAGGCAAAAATAAGGGTATCATAAAAGCAGGATGAATGAATTCTTTCGCAGAGGAAGAGACCACCCATTGAATCTTGAAGTTACTTTGATCCAAACCCATGAACTCAGATAGAATTTAAAGGAAATTCTTAATAGTGTAATGTGAGTGCCAATTGGCCACAAGGCATCGGGGCAAATCCATCACAATTCACTGTTAAATAACGCTTCAAATCTCAGCAGCGCTGTTTCATTCCACCATAAAACTAAAGAGGTCCCTCTTGGCTTTGCTTTTAATTAATTAAGTCACAGTAGTGACGAACGTGGCGCTACAGCAGTTGCTTTCTGCCTAATTGTTCTCCAGGCATATTTACAGCACTCCTGTTGAAATTGCAGGCTTGTTTCAGGAGTCAAGCTGCACAAATGAAGTCCGTGCTATTAAAAGCAGTTTGTTTCTTATTCCTTGACAATCTGTTCCTAATGCTGAGCCCCACTGGAGCATGGACTTTTTTTTTTAACTAAAATTTTTTAAGCCAAAAACTGGTGACATTTACCAACTACTGAACTGCTTTCAGACTCTAGCCATGCTTAGGAAGTCAAGGTTTTCCGTATCAGCACGATATGATTTTCAGCAGCAAGAGTTTGACATGCCCAATTTGATAGATCCCAGTACAATGGCATAATTGTTTTCATCCCTCAGTCCTGGATCTAGGATAACATATTCCTTCTCTCTCCTTCCTGCATTATGGTCTTTGAGCAGTGAAGCATATTTTTTCCATGCAGATAGCCCTAATATTAAAAGGCACCTTGCTCCCAAAGGTTTGCAAGCAGAAGGATGTATTTTATATCACAGTGCTCTGATTCTCCATCTTAAACTCCAGGACAGACGCAACAAATTAAATCAACTTATGCTTAGTCACATCTGTTTCATTTGTATCAAACTGGTGCCACTGAAGCAGAAAGCATTCTTATTCTCTCCACATTGTTCAAGCTGAAAATTAACTGGCTTTGTACATAATGAAACTCATACTTCATCTCTTTAAAATGATTGGACCTGTTTTATATTTTTAAAGCCGAGTGACTTACAGTTGCAATGTATCAGTCTTTTACTAATGGAAGAGGGAGTAGTTCCTTTCATCTTCCTTGTTTACCTCTCTGGATTTATTTGTAGGAGGTCTGTAACTCAAGCAATCCCTGTTGTTCCCCAACAGAATTAGGACAGCCCCAGGTGTGAAGATCATGGACATCAGAGTCAGTGATGCAGACCAGTGGGGGGTTCAAGAAGAGACAGACAGTGCAAGGACCGCTGCCACGATCACATGTGTGCACAACGACCCAAACGCAGAGAACAGGTAAGCTTTTGTGCATTAATCCTTGCTAAAATGCTGAGAGACACATACAATAGCTTCTTTGATGAGTCGTATTGCTCTTTTAATAACAGTATTTTTTCCTCCTCAGCCTCCTTGGAAAAGCTATAGGTCATCTGAGGAGAGCTTTTTCCTTTTGTTTCACTTTGAGCTTCAGAAGTAGATTATCTAATTAAACTGGAGGCAGCCAACTAGTCCTGGCTCCCATTTGCTTTTCATGCACCTTCAGGGCAGCAGGAGAATTCCTGTTGCCAAAAAGCCAACAGAAAGAAATGGATTAAAATAGAGAAATATGAAGAATAATCGAAAGCAAAATAGGATGATGCTGTCGTCTTTATTTAAAAAGCTATGAAAGTAATAGCTATTAAGCGCTATTCATTATTGCTGCAAAACACCTATGAGTGTCTATGAACTGTCTCACAAATGCTGCGTGCGTTTGTTACGGTAATGATCCCACAAGCTATATCAACGGTAATGAGAAATTTACGTTGTTAGTCAGAATTATGTGTTTTACAATACAAGCAATTTCTCTCCATTATCATGCATTTACTCTACACTTAAAGTACACTGTGCATAAATTTAGCTTGAAATTGTATCATAATTAGGAAATCAGGAAACTTTATGTCAAAATTTTTATTTGAGAAGTCTTTTGCATCCGTTTTTTCTGAAAGCTCCTGTAAGGGAGAAAAATGGGTGAAAAATTGTTTAGAACTAGGAATATTGTTGCCAGAGGTTTGGAGTAAAAGAGAGTTTCTACTCTGTTTAGTTTCTGAAGGTGTATTTGAGGAAGAAATGCATCCCATCTAGCTCTGTGTACCTGCAATAAAGTGTTGAAGTGAAAGCTATTTAACGCGAGTTATCCCTTTTTAGCAACAGGGATAAATAGGTACTGCTAAGGTGAGAGTCCTCTTGGATGTGTAAAACAGGCCTGATGAATAGCAAGCGAAAAGTGCCTGTTTCTCTCCAGTAAAGATGCAGAGTGGAACGCAGGCATTTGCATTGTAAACACATGAAATGAGGGGAGGTGATTCCCTGCTCAGTTTCTCTGGTTAAGTCAAATGCTACAGAGCTTTCTGGCATAAAGTGCTAGGCAAACCTTTCACTTCGTTAGCTGTTTCATGCACTTCCTACCCATTTAAAAAAAAAAAAAAAAGGTGTGGGGGGGTCCCCTCTTGTTTCCTAAGCATGTTTGTCAAAGTTGCAATTCTGAGGTTGTGATGTAGGAAATTCTAGCCACCTTCCATGATTATTTTGCTGGGATTTCATGGACTACTGTACTGATGGAGCACTGGCAGCTGGATTTGGCACTGTATGCTTTGTCTCCAAATCCTCTGTCTTTTGGCAAGATTTCCCAGTTCCTCCAAAAGCTGTTAAAGAAGCCAGGAAGCCTCTTTGGTGAAGCAAGAGCTCAGCCAGCGGGGATGCTGGCTCAGAGGGGAACCTTCGTGCTCGTTCTGGGGCTGCGCGGTGACACAGGATGGGTCCAGCAGTGAAGTCTCAACCTGAATCAGCTCATGTGGCTGATCTGGGTGGTTGTGCAGTATCTGCTCTCTGCTGAACATTGCGGTCAGATGTGTTGCTAAAACAACTGTGACCTCTGTTCTGTTCAGAGCAAGGTGGAAAGCCATCAATTTGAAAGTGAAATGCTGGGGTTAAAGGAAGACTTAAGATCATTTGGTGTTACAGAGGAATCCCTCTATTGAGATGAAACAACTAATTTGAAAGTTAGAAAAAAATAGGACGAACACTGAAACTTACTGCCTTGTATGTGATTTCACTAATCCATGAAATTATACCTGTCACAGTAACTTAGTTTTTATTAAAACTGATTTTTGCTTTGTGTTGAACTGTTAAATTGCACAAAAGCAATGAATCTCAAGTTAATTAATACTTTGACCCTTTCCTTTGTGAGATTAGTTTAATATTTTTAGATTAATTAAAGTATGCAAATAGAAACTGCTGAAAGATCATTTCCAGATTTGCAAATATTGTAGTGCTTAGGGTAAATATCTAACTTTGATCTTAACTTTAATCTGCCTTTTTGGTCATAATGGTGGCCCTCTTGTTTCTTTTGAAGACTATTAAGTGTTTATGTGGGGGTTCTGCTCTTTCATTTAGGTGAGCAGAGACTTGAACGTGCTTCTGTTAAGGTCAATGTGGCAAAGTTGTCACGACCTGATTCATCTGTTCCTCCTTTTAGTAATTCAAGGAGCTTCATTAAAGGCAGTTTACGTACGAGTGAGTGTGCGGAATCAATCTCTTTCATTGCAGAGCAGAAGCTATTAGTAAACAGAATTGTATCTACCTCAGGGGAGATGTTTTTTTCTCTCTTGGCAGTAACTTCAGTTCTGCTGACTCGCCTGGTGTTATGCTGGTAGTAGAGAAATGGGTAAGCCAGGACTGAGCCTCTGAGCCTAGCTAGTTCTCTCTGAGGAAGAGATGGTCAAGTTTGCTGTGGTTTTGCAGCCTCCCTTGGGCTTTGTATGGGGGCAGAAAGCCCCAGCAGCTCTGCAAACCGTCTAGGCTGGCACAGCTCTGGGAGTTTCAGTGACAGTGAGAAACTCCAGCAAATCACAGCTGCATTTGCTGAAATCTCTTGACTATCCTCGTTGCCCTTAGCTCAGAGAGAGGCCTGTTCTCCACTGCTTTGCATTTCGGTTGCTTTTTCTTCCCCAGTGTGCAACTCTGATAAGAGCCACCAACAGACACTGCCTGCAAGGAGAACAGTGGCTTTGGACTGTGACATGTTCATAATCTAGTCTGCATTTCTTTTAGCCAATGTTATCGGCTGGAGCCTTTTCAAATTTGCTTACTTTTCTAATCTTTCTTCTTCTCCCCACTGCAGTGTTATCATTATCATAAGTTTTTCATCTCCATTTCTCACATTTCCCTACGCAAATTGAGTGTTCATTAAAATGTTTTAAATTAAGACCTTTCCTCCTTTCATGCAGAGTGCATCATGCCTTTTCTGTGCATTAGTTAAAAATTCCTTATCACAATGTTTCAGGCAGTTTACATTATATTCTATTAAAAATCCATTTTGTCCAAGGTTGTCACAATTCATAGATTAAAGCTTTCCAGAGTGTGTTTTGTAAGGAATACATTCATAAATTCACCTCTTTAGTAGTCCCATAAGCTTGTATTTAAAACCTCTTTTTGATAATATAGTTGAACAAAGAGCATAAAAAGAAGAGATTTATTTTAAACACACACACACAAGTATATATGCACACATCCATTCTGATCTGCGTGGAGCCTTGCTTTACCTTTACTGCTGCCGTTTCAAAGGACTCCTCATTGAGCGAGGAGATTGATTGTTGCCATCTGCATTTATTCTCCCTTGCATTCTCTCCTTGAGGCAGAACTCATTTTGGTACGGTTAGTGGAAGCAGCAGTGTGTTTTGTTTCAAAAAGACACAGTTTCTACTTCAAGCACGAATACTCTTGCATTACTGCTGCGGCTGGGACCAGCACTTCTATTCTATAGGAAAGGATCTTTATGTATTTCTGCATTGAGTGCAGAGTGCATCTTGCAAGAGTAGAGCAAGTCAGGGCTGGTGGGCTTAGGTAAAAATCGAGTGCTTTCAGCCTCCCATGCAAAATAGCTGTGTCTGTGAAGGACTGGGATCTTACCCTGTGGTGTAGGACTGTATGTTGAATTATTCCAAAAAATGCTTTTGAAATACAAGCCCAAAATTTGTGAGCCCACCAGACAGAAATCCTTTGTGGTTTCCAGAAAATGGATCCTATTTTTGTAAAGACCATGCAGGCTTTTTCCACTGTGTTTGCCAAAAGGTGAATTGAGCCTTGGAATTCTTCTGCCCTTCGTACCTCAGAGTTCTCTGGAAGCATCTCAGGAACATGTCACAAATTAGGCTGCAGCAGGACTACGGCAAGAGGGCTTGAAAAGATGTCCTGGGAGCATGGTCCATCTTTGGCAAGCTACGGTACCTCATAACTCAGCGCTGATATCCAGAGGAATGGGATTTCATGAACTTTGCCAGAGTGATATATCATTTTATAGGATTAGATTATTTCAAATGATTGGTGAGCAGGAGCTGAGTTTCCATGGTCTTGTTTGAAAGTCCCCACAATACAACATATTTCATGGTGCTCGGTGTCTCCTTGCTGGAAAGCTGAAGAACAAAAACTTAATGTGACCTGGCCTTTGGTTCATGAGAGACGAGATGGGACAAACACAAAAACTTAGGCCAGAGAGTTGCAACCCTGCTTTGAAAGGGAATTATATGAAGAGATCATTCTCCTTACTCAGGAAAACTGTCATTAAATTGTATTGGATTATTACCAGGTGAGGAGAGTCTGATTCTCTGACAAACTAGTACTTTATCCAGAAAGGTTATATTTATGCTAGCTGGCAAAGTTAATATTTATGCTATCTAGCAAAGTTAATGAAATTGATTTTACCTGCAGTGCTGAGTATAGTGTTATGGAGACCAGACTGGTTCTTCTCACTTAGGGATTATTTTATCTCCATGTCTATAATACAACTTCCATCTCTCAGGATATCTGTCACTGCATAAATTAAACTTGTGTGAGGGAGACTCAGACTGCAGAAGTAGGGAGGGTGAAATCTTCAGAGGGATTTTTTTCAAGTGTCCTCAGAAGTATTTATGCTATGCTTGGAAATTTGTATTTTTTAATTGATGCAGACCAGCTTAGCTGTCTGGCATTTGACATCATCTGTCTTTAAACTTGAATAAAAAACTAAGATTCTATAATGATCATTCCATTTCTTTGTCATTTTGAGAGGTGTTCACAGAATTCAAATAATTTAAGTGACTTTATAAAACTATAATTGTAGTGTGTGTATATATCTCTTTAAATCAGGAAAAGCAGTTATTTTATCTATTTATAGGTATGCAAATAGATCCTCCTATTTTAAAATAATTCACTTCTTTTTCTGTGCTTGGGAATACCCTTTGAACCAGAAATATCACTCAAAAGGAAGATGTAAAGTTGGCTGC